AGAGACCTTTATATGCCAGGAGAGGCCTTGATACAACAAAGAACTTATTAAAAAACCCAAATAGTAATTATTTGTTATACAAAATTAGATAAACCCATAAAGGTGGGATTAAAAAATATCATTTCTTCTCATGGTGTTTCCAATTCACATATACGGATTTGTTTAATCCTATGTAACAAGTAATATCTCGTATTAAACACTCTTTTAATAGGTTTGTTAGATCCTAATTTTAATTCTTATTCCTTATTTTTAATGCTTCGTACCAAACGGAATTTGATATTGGAAGAGCCATATATCAAGAAAACCCTTGATACCTTTGATTTCATTCATATCATTGCCTCGTAAGATCACATATTCCACATACACCAGTAGGGCAGTAGAAGAAGCACCACAATTGTGTACAAACAAGGAATAATCAGATTTGGATTGAACATGACCACAAGAAACTAGAGCAGTGGAGAACTTAGAACCATTATTTGCTGGCCTACTTTAAACCATTTTGTAACTAGTGAAGTTTACATGCGAGATTGGATTAGGGAGAAGCAAAAGGAAAAGTCAAGTAGATCAACTTCCTCGTCTAAATCCCATGCAGGAATGCATTATGAACATCAAGCTACTCCAAAAACCAGTTACTAGTGGAAGCAAAGAGCTAATAATAAACGGACAATATTTGCCTTAGAAACAGGGGAGACAGTATCAAGCAATGGTTTGTTTGTAGTCCTTAACAACGTACTAATCTCCCCTTACAACGATCAAGGGCTCAACTGGCCTTATACGTATTTCTTCCTAAACAACCATTTACACCGAATTGCACGCCTCCCGGGGGTAATTCGGTCAAGACCCAAGTCTGAATTTGTTCCAGAGTACTGAGTTCATCAGTCAGGGCTTGTTTCCAGATATCATGTTTAAAAGCTCCATTATGAGTCCCAGGTTCAGGGGAAGTAGTAATAGAAAGAACGAAGCGTTTATGTGAAGGAGACAAACGAAACGATCATAAGACATAAAACAGAAGATAAAGGATAGCGAATACTTGAAGAAGAGGAATAGGATGGAGCTGAAGTTTGTAAGAAACAATGGTAGTCATGCAAGTAAAAAGGGTGATGACAGGGGCAAGAAGATGTTCCGAGAGGAGGAGAAGATGAAGGAATGGAGAACGGCAGAAGAAATAGAAATATCAGCAGAAATGGCTGGGGGGAGAAAAATCAAAATAAGCCTGATTTGGAGAAGAAGGTGCAGAAGAAAGAGGAGAAGATGAAGCATGAATGGATTCAGAAAAATCAAGAAAAAGGAAAATCTGAAGAAGAGAAAGGGGATCAGAAATGGAAGAAGGATCGGTATTATGAGATGAGGAATTGAGGAGGAAGAAGGCAAAATTGATTCACAGAACATTACATGGCGAGAGATGAAAATTTGGTTATTGTGCAAATCTAACAAAATAAAACCTTTGGCATCCTATCATTAGGAAAGCCAAGAGGACGATCTAGATGATCAAATTAGAACCATAAGCAGACAATGTAGAAGCAAAACAAAGTGAAATAAAAACATAAAGAAGAATATGCTCATGTTTTCGTTCTCCGGCACTGTTTTGTTCAGGATTAGTAAACCAGGGAGTTTGATGTAAAATCCCGTTTAGAGTTATAAAACGAAGTCATATTAAATTCAGGCCAGTGTCAGAGCGAATGAATTTAACAGTAGTAGAAGTTAAAATTGATTTTCAAGAAGGATGATTGAGATTAGAAGGACCATGTGATTTAGTTGTTAATGAGAAAACTTAAGCGAAACATGTGATTATACTTTAGTTTGGTCTGTGATTATGTGTCTGCTACTCATACATAATTGTTTATATTTTAGCTTTTGAAATTCAATCATAATGAATTTGGTAAATACTATATTTTCTTATTTTTAAAATACACGGTTTAACTTGAGGAAAAATGACACCAAAAAATAAAAAAAATTGAAAATTACAATATTTCAATTCAAGCACTTAATAGATCAAAATCTCATGAGAGGAAGTGATACCCAAGGAACAAAAAACCGGACCGGACATTAAACCGGTCGAGATAGTGGGTCAAGGGTTACTGGTTGAACCGGGGTCGGACCGGTCATATTAAAATAATATAATTTAATTCACAATATTAAAATAAAACAAAATTTATAAATAATAATCACTAAAAAAATGAGAAGCTACAAAAGTAGTTTAAATGTTTAATAGTACCAAGCAAGTACATTTTTAATCCTCCACATTAATTCAAACTATGCTTCTTGTAGGTTCTAAAATAGCTTTCGGATTTACTTCCATATTAAAACTTCCAGACTTTCAATTCCGTTAGCACTCAACCTCCTACACATGCATACATTCTCCCATAGCCTTATAATCTCCTTATACAAACTTTAAGCTATGCCAACATATCCTCTAATCATTTAAAATTCCTATCCATTGGTTGGTAGCCTCAAGCACATTTCAACAATAAATTTAAATCAACTCCTCTACCTTTCATAATCTGGAAATTATTCCCAATTTTAAAATATCAATTCAAGCCTATCCTTTAAACTTAAAATCGTATATAACTTAAAAATTTAAATTATCAAAGACCCTCCTTTCAATTCATCAACTCCAAGCTTCTCCGATCCCTTCAAGAATGTAGATCTAATCAATTAATTTAATCGTTTAACATTCAAGACCCCCAAGTTAAACTCAATATAATATATTAGTTCAGTTCTTCCCTCTTGTCTCCATGAATTCGAGTCCCATGAACCAAACATATATATTCAAATTCGAGACCCCCAAGTTAAACTCAATATAATATATTAGTTCAGTTCTTCCCTCTTATCTCCATGAATTCGAGTCCCATGAACCAAACATATATATTCAAATATATATCTACTCATATATAAAGCCCGAACGCTCCAAATGCTCATATACAACAAATATAGAAATTTTCTAGATTCAAAACACATTTTTAGAACCAGCCTTGCTAATCACAGAAGGCAAAATAAGCACCAATCAAGCTTATATATTTATTTACGTGTATCCTGTTTCTAAAACCAACCCACCCAGCACCAATGCAACAGAAAGCCAAAATTACAGTTCCCAACTTCGGTTACTCTTGGCTAGCATCAGTATACCGCACTAAGAAAAATAAACAACATGCAATCCAACAAGCTCACTCCATAAACACAACCCGTAATCATCCTAAACCAGCGACTTATTTCCCTGTTCGGCCAGTAACGAAACAGAGCAAAGAATTTGAAACTCAAACTTGCATAAATTTCAACCTCTGTTCGGCCAACCTAAAACGGAAGTATCTAACATCATGCAATGACTGCGATTTTGGAGCTCAGACTTGCGGCGACTTGTAATGACTTGCGATGACTGCCATTTTGGAGCTCAGACCCTTAGACTTGCGAGCTCAAACGGTTCAAGTAGACTGAAGATCAAACTTGCGATGAGGTTGAGGGAGACCGGAGATCAGACTTGTGATGACTATGATTTTGGAGCTCTACCGAACAAGGATCTCTGCCAGAGACCGTCGTGCTGTCGGTGACGCTAGGGAGCAGGTATTTTGGAGGAGCCGATTTTGGTTTTTGGGAGGGAGGTGAGCTGCTGTGCGAGCCAGATGAACGAGGAATCAGACTCGGGGTAGGGAAATGGGGGGAAGTCGACGGGAAAGGAAATTAGGAAAGGAAGAAGGAATTTTTTTTTTAATTAAAACGACGTCGTTTTGGGGTTTTGGCAGATAAAAAAAAAAAAGAGAACCGGGTAACCCAGTCAACCGAGATTACCCGGTTTTATACCGGTTATGACCGGTTCAACCGGTTTTTTACCGGTTTGATTGGCCCCTGGTTTAGCTACTGAACCGGACCGGACTGCAGACCGGTTCACTGGTTTTCCGGTCGAACTGGTCGGTCCAGTCCGGTTTTTTTCCTTGGTGATACCTGATCTGGTATTTCGCAAATATAATCAAATAACTAAAATGTCCTTGTATCATATTTTAAAAAAAACTATTAAACTTGTCATTATTAATATATTTCTTATTATTAATTGTTCAACTTTTGTTATTGTCAGTTCATAACTTATTAATAAATAACTTGTTATTACTAATATATTTCTTGTCATTTGCTGTTCAATATTCTTATTGCTAATTCACAACTTGTTAATAAATTTTTTGATACAAGAGCATTTTTTTCATTTAACTATATTTACAAAATACTGGATCAGGCATCACTTCCTTCTCAAAAATTTTGACCCATTAGCTGCTTGAATTAGAATATCACAATTTTTTATTTTTTATGTCATCTTCCGTTAACTAACTTAATCTTTTGTTTCAAGATAATATTTTTTTTAACATGGAGCAGGTGCAGCTTTCATGGTAGCTCATCACAAGTTTAAAAATGTAGAGTATATATTATAAAATGGTTGAGCTTTTTCAAATTATACAATTTTTTATTATTACGAGACATGCTTTGATTTTATTTTTTCCAAAGTTAATATTTTCATGAACTAGGAGTGTTTTATCTTTGCCCATGATGAAGAAGATGTTATCTCCGAAGAAGATGTAGAAAGAGAGAGAACGATATGGTGTTGTCATCATTGCTCAACAAAACTATATTATTTTTATTCATTGGCATAACAGACATTTTTCCTCGTCATTTAAACACATTTTTTCATTTCACACCCCTTTTTGTTCTATTAAGCATTTTGTTACTTATTTTATATTTTATAAATTATAATCAAAAAGTTACTCTAAGTGATTAAATCAATCCTAATTGTTAGAGCCAAAGGAGCCTTCCCTTTCCGAGGGTCCTCCTCGCAATTGATGCTACTTTCCCTTCCCTTTCATTATTGAGACGGAGAATTTTATTAAAGGCCAAGTGATGTGACTTTAGCTCGAAAGTGAAATCATGTTAGGATAATAAATTAACAAAACGCCCTTAGTTCGTTCTTTGAAAAAATCCCCTCAAATGTAAAACAGGTCATACTTGAGAGGAAAGCAAGACAATTCACAGTAGCAAAACACACAACCAGTTTGCCAAAAGGCAAATTGGAAGCAAAGGCACAAGGTGCTTTATTTCATAAGACAGGGGGATTCACGTCCATAGAAACAAAGCAGCAGATCGAGAGTAGAACGCAGCCAGTGATGCCTAGGCTTTAATTGATTACAGCATTAAGCAGAAGAGGAACATGGATGGTAGCAGAAGTTGGTGGTGTCAACACAGCGACACTGGGGAGGATGGGAGCGAGTGCAGAGACAGGACTTGCAAGCAGAGTGGCAACTTTCTCCGATGTCGGTGCAATGGCACTGAGGAGGGATGGACCTTGTGCAGATGCACATGTCGCAGCAGGCCGTGGTGGTTGACTTCATGTAGTAGTTTGGTTCCCCGTTCTCCTTGAACATCTCCGCCAGCAAGGTATTCCCATCGAAGCGCCCCTCCCCAGTTGCAGCCAAGGCCATCAGCAGCAGCACAACCACTCCCACCATCTTCTTCGTCATCATCATCATCTTCGCTCTCTCTCTCTCTCTCTCTCTAAGGGCCTTGGTGTGTTTGAGATTTTGCTTGTGAAGTGGCGATGAGATTGGGAGGGTGTTATTTGTAAGCCACCTTCGGGGGCATTTTAGTCCATTCGTGGTTGATAAAGGATGAAGAAGAAATTAAAAGGGATGGGCTCGCAAATTTATTTACCATTCACGTGACGTCTAAAAGATTTTTTTTTTTTTTTTCAGGAGTATTTTAGTCCATGTGTGGTTGACAAAAGAGAAGGAAGAAATTAAAAGAGATGGCGTCACCCATTTATTGATAATTTAATTTAATTAACGTAAAAATTTTAGGCCAATGACGTTGTTACGCCTAGACAAAAAGACAAATTTGCTCACCTGGTGCAGGCTGCTGGGTGAGTTGGTGGAGTACAATTATTGGTGTACCAGACTGATGACCTGCCTGGAACACGTCCCACACATTTTCATATCCCCAACGTGCTTAATTATTAATAAGGGAAAATTGCAATTAGATCTCACTTAAAGAAATTAAATACAAAAAAGTCTTTTAAAATCAAAAATTACTTTAAAGTTCTAAGAGATTTTTTAATAAATTTTATTTGTTTAATTACTAAACTAGTCACGATAGTTGTCAATTATTACACTCTAAGTTGTTAATCACTACTCTTTCAGTTGTCAATGTAAATTTAAAAAAAGAAGAGTAATTTGATAATTAAACGAATAAAATTTATTGAAAAAAATTCTCTTGAAACATCAGAATAATTTCATATTTTAAGGGATCTTTTTATATTTAATTCTTTTAGGTGGGACCTAATTGCAATTCTTCCTATTGATAATTAGGGGAAATGACTGTTTGGGACTAGAAAACGATACTGTAACTTCAAGGGAAATATATCCTCAAGGATCAATTTTTGAAATAAATCATTCAAAAAAACCATTAATTTATGAAAGTATTCTGATGGATTTTTGAGCCGTTACAGAAAAATTTGAACAAAAGAATGGACCTAATATAGTCTTATAAGTAATTTATAGTTCATTCTTACACATTGAGAAATATATTAAATTAATATTTTTTTATTTATTTTCGTAAAAATTTTTTATTATTTACAAATCATTCTTACCACTTTATTTCTTTCTCTTCTAATGAGAATTAAATGAGAACAAAATTTAAAAATAATACTTATATTTAGAAACAAAAATTTTAAACATGTTACATACGAGGACACACAAGGCATCCAACATAAAATTCTAAGTTTTATATTTTTTTGATCTGAAAAGTTCCAAGTTTTATATGCAGGATGCCAAAGCATCAGGTCATTTAAATTAAAGTCACGACTCATGTCATCCAAGACAAGGCTAAGAGTGTTTGGTAAATTCGACAAATTATAAAGAATATGGTATGATTCCATTTTGAAAGATGTGTCCAAAACCGATAAAGTTGGCAAAACCATATCTTTTATTGTGCAGATTCTTCGTACTCTGCGTAAAGATGAGCATGGTAACTACGATGGGAAAGGGCCAGGCCCCCGCCTTTGATGATCACATGCACAATTTTTGTTAAAATTCTTAAATTCTAAATTATATATTAAAAAAAATAAAAAAGGACGTGGCCTGAGGAATATGTCCTTTCCATTTAAGGACTCTTGCAAATAAAGTAATAAACTAAGAAATGGCTTTGATGAGCTTGACGAAGGAGCAAAAGAAGACTTCCATTGGCAAAACAAAAATCTTTATTATTGGTCTTTTACTGCTTCTTCCATGTATTTGTGGAAGACAACTTGTAAATAATACTCCTCCGAAGTACTAATAATTAAAATATTTAAAATTAAAATGTTCATATTTGATTAAAATCAAATAAAATAATTTTTTTAAAAAAATTTATCTTAATTTAATTTACATAAAAATATTTATAAATAGTTAATATAAATAGCTCCAAACAAGCCCACATCACCCGTTTGAATTTAAAATAAGTGATTTTGAAGCTCTTCTAAAATATTTATTTTGTATAGTTAAACATTACTTCTTCTCTGTTAATGTAAATTAAATAGGCACCATATATAGGGTAAACATGTAGAGTCTACAATTTTTCTTAATTCTGATAGGGTATGATTAACATTAATTTGATTATGGGGATAAATATGGGTCTGTCTTAAGAGCAAGGAGGATCGCAGAAGTTGGTGGTATCAAGGCAACGACGCTGGAGGAATGGAGCGAGTGCAGGCACAGAGTTTAGAAGCAGAGTGGCAAGTTTCTCCGACGTACGTCGCTGCAATGGCATTGACTTGCTGTTGCGGCAAGCGCTGGTGGTCGACTTTATGTAGTAGTTAGCTCCGGCCGCCATTATCCTCCGCCATCTCAGCCAGCAACGAGCTTGGATCCAACCCACGAGCCTCCTCATCGCTTTCTCCTTCAAACTCATATTCTCTCTTTCATTCTGTGTTTGAGTTTTGCTTGTGAGGTGTTGTTGATTGCCCTGATGAATTAATCAACGGGACAATTATAATGACACGTCCCAATGCCAGCATGTTAATTATTGTACTTGCACGTGGTTTACGAGAGAGGAACGGGTCAAAAGAGATGCGACCACACATTTATTTGACTGTGCCTCACAGTTCACAACACTGACATGTATTCTTCTCGGCTTTCACGTGGTCACGTCCGTACATGTTTCGTTTTTACCGTCTCATAAAATAAATAATAAATAAATTAAAAAATATTTTTATTTTTAAATATATCTTTACAATAAATAAATAAATAAATGTGTGAAAAATATTATAAAAATAATTAAAGCAACATTAAAAAATATATTAAATGTTAAAACAAAATAAATTAAAACTTAAACCACACCTATTTTTTTTCAAATTTAAAATTTATAAATAAAAGCGGAAGTATGCGATGAAGAGTCTGGAAATTATTGTCTTGCTTTTATATATATATATATATATATATATTACCTCCTGTCCTAATTATAAGAGTTAGTTAATTAATTTGAGAAGATTAAAAAAATAAATTTAGTTATTTATGATGAATAGATGTTGTTTTTTCTAAAATATCTTTACTAATCAAGTGTATTGGTTAGAATTATCATTATTAGAATGACTTTTTTGAAAAAAAATGCATAAATATGAAAAAAAATGAATTAAGGTATTATATTTAGGATCAAAATAAAAATCAAACAATGTCTTATATTAAAAATAGGAGGTAGTATATTTTACTTGAATTATTTTTTTAACAGCATTAAGAATACAAGGCTTAAGGACACTTTATAAAATTAAAGTAATAAAATACAAACTTGTGTAATTTCATAGTTAACTGAGCTTATTTCGCAGAAGGAGATTCCTGAAATCTGCAGGCCAAGCATCCTTTTGGTGTTTGGATAAGAAGTGGATGACGGAGCGCCTAACCTCTTCTAGTTGGAGTCTTTCTCTCTCTGTTTTGTTCAAGCCTAGGCTTTGCCACTTTGCAAGCATAAAAACAAAGATTAAATTTAACCTTATTATTAATTATTAATTAATTAATTTACTAATTTTATGCCCAACGCTGACGAGCACGCAAAAGAGGACGTGTGATTGGGATTTTGAGTTAGCTAGATGAAGAAGGGACCTTTATCCTCGCTCCTTGGAAGCTGGTGCAGCGCTTATTTTTATGAGAAAATTACACTCAGGTCTCACGGAAAATAATTAATTTTAAAAAAGTCTCTAAAAATCCCGAAATGATTTTGAAATCCCCAGGGACCTGTGTGTAATTAATTATAATTATGAAATTACTTATTTACCCATTAATTTTATTATAGCAATTCATTTACAACCTCCACAGTGGCTGTTGACAACCCGAGAAGAAGTGGTTGACAACCTCGACAGTGCTCTGACAACTCACTCTGTGGGATGTCAGGGGCATTGCCGAGATTGTTAACCACCTCTCTTTGGGTTGTCAACAACCAATGTTGAGGTTATAAATGAATTATATTGGGTTCAAATTAATAGAGATAAATAGGTAACTTCACAATTACAATTAATTACACACAGATTCCTAGAGACTTAGGAATCATTTCAGGATTTTCAAGAACTTTTTTGAAATTAATTGTCTTTTGTGAGACCTAAGTGTAATTTTCCCTATTTTTATTATTTTGATTTGTTTAAATCCAATTAAAATATTGTCTTCAATTTTAAATATACAATCTAATTTTTAGTATAATTATTCCTTTTTTTTTGGGTATAAATCATCCGGTATCCAACCGTGCCTTTTCTGGACCCCAGCCTCTTTGGGCCAGTTGTACCCGAGCGATTGACTAGTCCGGATTCAGGCCGGGCGACAAGTAAAGCCCTCCTCGGTATCCTTTTTAACAAGTGAGGATTCGAACCCCCGCCCTCAAAGAGCAGAGACTCGCCTCACTTGTGACCTAGCCAGTCATCACTAGGCCAGGAGTATTCGGATAGTATAATTATTCTAAATAAAATAAATAAGCAGCAGTTTATTATCATCTATTTGTTAATTAAAATATATAGTTTTTTTTAATAAATAAAGTACTACCTCCGGTCCTAATTATAAGAGCCAGTTGACTAATTTGAGGAGATTAAGGAAGTAAGTTGAGTTAGTTATTTGTCCTAAATAGGTGTTGTCTTTCCTAAAATATCCTTACTAATCAAGTGTATTAACTAGAATTATAATTATTAGAAGGACTATCTTGAAAAAAATTAAGTAAATATGAGAGACAAAGTGGATTGAGGTCTTATATTTAGAATCAAACTAAAAGTCAAACAGGATCTTATATTAAAAATAGGACGTAGGAGTTTATCAGCGAACACCTCCAACGCGCTGCTGGACTTGGGAACGGCGTCGTTGAGACTCTTCTTCGTGATCTCATCACAAGATGCGCAGGGATTGTATTACTAGGATTATCAATGAAATTCAATTACATAGATTTAACCAAGTTAATTTGACCCAAGAAAAAACCAAGTATAGAAAATAGCTAATTAATTTCTTATATGTTTATTAGTCTCTCGGTTTCTCTAATATAAACAAGTGGTTTTGTAACTTGGCGCTATATACAGAAAAAGATTAC